GTAGCAAGTTCATGTTTTTATTTTTGAGAGCCCGAGGTCGTGCGGCAGTGTATAACAACATGGGCTTAATCATATGCCCTGCCGCATTCCCACATAGCATCACTGTCACTCGGTCCTTCGCAACTTTAAATCCAGGGGCACTTTTTTCCTCTTTAGAGATGTAGGTTCGGCGTGGCATCTTCTTCCACCATAGGCCTGTCTCATCAGCATTAAAAACTTGTTCCGGCCTATAACCCTTTTGTGCTATGTGGTTAGCAAACTCTGCAGGGTATGCTTCCCCTGCCACAGTGTCTGCTGATGCTGCTTCGCCAGTCACTTTTATATTATGCAGCCCATAACGATGTCTGAATTTCTCAAACCATCCTTTGCTAGCTGCAAATTTTTTCAAATTGTCACCATCACCATCACCCTGATCATCACCATCACCATCACCAACACCATGATCATCACTTTTAGAAAACCTATCATAAAGTTCCTTAGCTTTCTGCCTAATAAATTTCGAGTCAAGTGGTATGCGGCGGCGGTTTAGGTCCTCTATCCAAATGTTCAGTGCTTTTTCCATTTTAATGAGGGCATCATCACGCACATGGCTTGTCACTTTTGATGTCACTGGTGCACTTGAAGCTAAAGCGTGCTTCAGATCCTTTGCACGTCGTTTAATTCCACGCACACTGGATTCGTTGAGCCCAAAGTGGCGGCCAACAGCTGCATAGCTCATACCGCTGTCGAGTTGTTTCAGCACTTCATTCTTCTCATTCAGCGTCAGCACTCGTCTTGCCCTCTTAGGTGTAGATCCAGAGGGAGCAGCAGGTCGTTTGGGAGGCATAGTGATATAAGTTCATGTGATGAACCACCAGCAAAAGTTGAAAATCAAAGACTGTTGCCCACTCGGCTTGGCTGATGTTTGTGTTCAGGGAAGGCGGGCCGCGGGTAGGCGCTAGTCACGCCACTAGTGCCGCCTAGCGGCGAAAGTACAAACAAGGCCCGCGGAGTTCAAATAAAGCCAAAATAAAAATCCCGGCTAAATAATCCGTCGATAATCGAAACCGCCGATAAAAAATCCGTCGATAAAGAGGGAGTACTGTATAATATAATACGAAACAACAAAGCCCAACCATTAATTAAAGGGGAACTAAGTAACCAATCACCGATCACTTTTACATTCATTCATAATATTTACTACGTACTATTGTAAACAAACGGCCTTGAGTTGCCAGCTGTCTTCAGCAGTGTTCGAAGAATCTTGAATGAGACTGTACATTCACCTTAAGGCCGAAGTGGGCATACGCGTATGCATAGGTGTTCAGGATCTCCTGTAGGTCGTGTTCAGTGTGAGCAACAAGGGTGAAGGTTATCTGCATACTGAAGTTCAGTAATGGAGCTGCCGACACCTTTGTTCTTGCCTGGGGTCGTCTTATGTTGAAAAGACCCCCTTCACCTGGTACTCGATGTTTACCCCGCTGGCTAAATTGGCACTGGTATGAGTAAGGGAGGCAGCCAAGAAGATGGAGAAGAGTTGGTGCCAGTACACACCCTTGTTTAACCCCTGTTTGGATGGAGAAGAACTCTGACTGGGTGCCGTTGTGCAGGACACAGCCGTTCATGCCATCGTCGAGTTGCCTCACAATGGTGATGAATTTTGGTGGGCAGCCAAAATGGCTGAGGGTCTGCCAGAGGGCTTCACTGTTGACCAAGTTGAAGGCCTTGGTTAGGTCGATGAAAGCCATATACAGGTGACTATGCTGTTCTCTGCACTTTTCCCGTATTTGGCAGGCAATATAGATCATGTCAGTGGTGCCACGTGATGGTCTGAAACCACATTGAGATTCTAGGAAGAAATTTTCCGCCTCAGGAAGAAGTCTGTTAAGGAGGACTCGGGCGATAATCATGCCAGCTACAGAGAGCAGCGAGATCCATGGTAGTTGCCACAATCTAACCGGTCTTCCTTGTTTTTATAAATATTGACAATGGAGGTGTCTTCAAGAGCTTGGGGATTTCCTCCTTTTCCCATATATTCTCCAGGAGAGAGTGGAGACGGCTGGTAAGCTGTGGTCTTCTTACTTTATTCACCTCGGCTGGAATCCTAGCCGAGGTGTATAAAGCATCAGACCCTGAGGCTTTGTTATTTTTCATCTGTTTGATGGCAGTAGCTACCTCATCCAGGGATGGAGGATAGCTGAGGTGGGTCTCAGCTCTGGATGCTGAGGGTAGTCAGGACATCCACATCGGTGTTTCGGTTGGGCAATGAATGGTAGTGCTCTTTCAGCGGTGAAGGAGGCCTTCGTCATCTTTAATTATGGGGTAATCATCAGATGAGTGGAGGGGGGCTGGCCCATAAAATGTTTTAGTGGAAATAAAAAATTTGTGCATCTTGTGCTTATCTGCAAATTTTTGTGTTAAACATGCTGTATTTCTAAACCAGTCATTCTTTAGATTGAGAAGTTCCCGCTGGGCCACAGCTTTCTTCTTGTGGAAGGTATCAGCTTTGGTCCGAGACTGAGGGTTGTTCTGCCAGTCAGTAAAAGCAGCGCATTTATCATCGATGAGTACTTTGATTGCCGGGTCACTTTCATCAAACCAGTCCTGGTGTATTCTTTTGATCTGCCCGGGGGTCTCTCTGCAGGTTTTTGTCATGACAATGTTGAGAATATCCCATTCGGCACTGGCATTTGGGTTCTTAATTTGTCAGCGATCTCTTTTTCTGACAATGATGTAGTCAATGAGATGCCAGTGTTTGGGTCGTGGGTGTTGCCACGAACCCTTAAACTTGTCGACTTGCCTAAACAAGGTATTGGTGATAGTGAGGTTGTGTGGAGCACACTTGCTGAGGAGGAGTAGGCCGTTGGGATTACACTTTCCTTGTCCATATCTCCCTATGGTTCCCTGCCAAATGCTAGCTTCTCTGCCAATTCTGACATTGAAGTCGCCAAGGAGCACAACTTTGTCTTCCCTGGGGATAGAGGTTAGCACTCTGTCGAGGTCAACGTAAAAGGCCTCCTTGATGTCATCTTCTGCATTCAGTGTTGGGGCGTATGCACTGATGAAAAAAGGCATGACGTGAGTGATTCAGTGGGACTCGAAGCATCATGAGACACTCGTTGATCCCAATAGGCATTTCAGTTAGCCTGTGTAGGATGCGTTGGCGGATGGCAAAGCCAACTCCATAAATGCGGTTTCTCTCTGTAGCAGGCTTACCCTTCCAGACCCTCGTTCTGTGCATTCTGTGAGTTGACCCTCGTCTGAGAGCCTGGACTCACTAATGGCTGTTATGTTGATGTTATACCTAGCCAGCTCTTTTGCCACAAGGGCAGTTCTTCTTTCAGTACACACATTTGTGCCAGTATCCAGAAGGGTCCTGACATTCCATGCAGCGACCATAAGAGGTTATATGGTTTGTTTTTGTTTGAATCTGTGATTTTGATTGTGTTTTCGACTGCATAAGGATGACTTTACCGGGTGCGGTTGCCCAGTAGGTTGGTGTTTTAGGCAGGCTATGTTTAGAGTGCCTTTTCTAGCCCCCTCCCCATGTGGGGTGAGCAGAGTGGCTCCTCGAAAGGGCTGCTCTATCACACAGACAGGACCGGATTACACTGCTGCCTAGATCCCAGTGCATAAACAACTATCTTATCTATGCCGCCCATGTGCAGAGTTGTGACTAGAGACTCCCAGCCGTCATCTGTCTGTCCCCGTCGCCACTCGTCTGTCACCATATGACTTTTGGGGGTACTCTATAGGGGTTTTGATGATGATGAGAGGTATGATGAGCTTGATGATGGCTGTGCTTGAGTTGATATATGTGGTGTGGCAGAAGTGCAGGCTGCAACCACACATCTTGGCTCTCCCTTTTCCTGATCCAGTGGTGCAAGTGTTGCAATGACTGGGGAGAGGGAGAGTTGCAATGGGCTGCCAATAGCCCAGTTTGTTGGGTTTTGCCTTAGTAGCCTGTCCATCAAGCATTGCCTTCATCTGACGGTGTAGTCGTTGGATTTCCATGGTGGTCACCTGTTCTGCTTATACTGCCATTGGGGTCTTGCTGGTGCTCTATAAGCATGTCTGCCTGATGCGGGGCTCCACCGCAGATTTTTCGTTTGGGTTTACTCCCGTAGCCTTATACCTACCAAGGTTAATCCATAAGGCAGCGGGGCAATGGTTGGTAGGCACCAGGTCGTGTCCACATGCCAGTGGGCCTATGCGCCGTCCCTCTGGGATACACACACAAAAAAAAAAAAGATCCTGAGTAGAGGATCCAGTTGAGAACATTTAAGTTGCTCAATCAACTAAGAGTGTATGGCCATAAAGAGCTTTTGTAGTAAAAGCCTTCCCATACAGTATTTTGGTCCAATAATGCAACATTCCTTAAAGAGTTTGTAATCTCCACCCTCCTTATTCGCTGATGGCTTTTGGTAACTAGAGTTACCTAAGATATTGCTTTAGCTATAAATTGGGATTGCTCATGAAAATCTGGTTCATAGCCAGACACAGATTGAGTGACCCACTTTCTCTCTCTCCTCCTTGGATACTGGTGTAAGACCCCTTAGCTTTCAACTTTTAGCTCAGCTGAGGCTGCCAATTGATGCCCTTTGGGCCTCAAGGTAATGGTATGGAAGGATTAGCAGAATTAGTAAATAATTTTTGAAATGAGTCAACTGAATCGACATGTTAGCAGTCAAAATCTTGGGTTTTCAACTTATGTGGTTTATGACTGGGTTCACCCAATCTGTGTCCACTTAAAAGCTGGGATGTTTTTTACCAAAGCTGGGCAACTGTACAGTATAAGTATATTCATATTTACTGGAAATTCCGGTTTTGGTCCACTTTATTCCAGTAGTCTTAATTTACTAATTGATTAAGTTTTCACCATTAATCTGTAACCTGTAAAGTTCTTTCATTCCTGCAGGAACAGAAGTAAGCATCATTAACATTATTTGAATGTTCTTTAGTATCTCAATTTTCTATTTATTTTATCTCATGATTTACGAACTCTATTTCCAATGCTTCAGAGGCCTATTGTGGAATTTTCTTTGGAGAATCGATCTGTTCTTAATGCTCGACAAAAGCGTGTGGAGAAGAGTAGAGAAAAGAACCCCTTGTGGAAGAAAGATGAACAAGGCACAAAACACATTGCCAGTAAGAAAGGTAGGTGTCCTTATTGCATGGAAGTAAATATTTTGAATGGCTTCAAGGCAGGAGCTTATTTCTAAAGATTCTATCATGAGTGTACAGAACATAACTCACTCTGATCTCGAGTTATTTTTAGTCTTTTTCTGTATTTGCTTCCATGCACTCAATTATATTTTCTTCATTATATGTTATGCAAGCATATTGCCTCAACACAACTGATCAGTCAATTTTTCTTTCAGTTATCCTTCCTAATCATAACACTTTGTGCACGAGTCATAATTATTCTTCACATTTCTGATGGCTAGTTTATTTATATTTATTTATTTATTTTTTATTAACGTAAATTGTGGCGTATAAGTCGACCTCAAGATTTTTAGTTCAAAATGTAGTTTCAGGCCTATTCTGGCCGTATAGGTTGACTCCCCAAGGCCCAAACATAGGCGAAAGTGTGTAATAAAGCCACGCCACTTTCATCAAGACACTTTCAATATATATATATATATATATATATGTGTCACTTGTATGTATGTATATATGTATATATGTATGTATGTATGTATATACGTATATATATGTATATATATATATATATATATATATATATATATATATATATATATATATATATATATATATATATATATATATATGTATGTTGTATGTATATATTGTTGTATGTATATACGTATATATATGTATACAGTATTACCCGCCTAACGCGGTTTCCTTATAGCGTTTATCATATACTGTGATTGCCTCGCCAGAGTGAACTTTCCTTACACAGTTTTTTCCACATATCGCGGTGAGTGTCATTTCAGGCATATTTTTGATTGCCCCACCACCACCTGCCTGACTGCCTGTTTTAGCTCATAAAATTCACTAAATTACCGGCCAGAATATAATTTACATTGCTGGATTCTATAATTTGGTGATCATTTTGAATATAAACATCATATATTTTGCATTAGACATACAAATTTTAGATATAAATTTTTCTCAGAGTAACTATGTTATCTTTGTGCAAATATATGACATTTATATTCAAAATATTCCTGGTCTTGAGAATCCAGCAATGTCAATTATATTATTATATCTTTAGTTTGAGGTATTATTTATTACAAATAGTTAAGTATTCTGGTTTTCCCACACATCTCCTTGGGACGGTTGGGGTGGGGGAGGGAGACCGACCGACCATCTTGTTCCCTGTGAAGAATATTTTTTTTATTAACTGAAGATATTTGTTTTAGCTCATAAAATTCATACAAATTACCGGTCTGAATATAATTTACATTGCTGGAATTCTTATAATTTGATGATCATTTTGAATATAAACATCATATATTTTGCATTAGACATACAAATTTGATAAAAATTTTTCTCAGAGTAACTATTTTATCTTTATTAAAATATATGAATTTATATTCAAAATATTCCTGGTCTTAAAGGAATCCAGCAATGTCAATTATATTATCCTAACTTTAATCTGAGGTATTATTTAATACTAAATGTTAAAAACTCTTGAAGGAGGATTGGTGGGGGGTGGGGAGGTTGGGACCCGGCGCTTGGTTGGGAGGAGGTGATGGGTACTTTGATTGACAGATAGTGTCGTGAAGATTTTTTTTTATTAACTGAAGATATTTGTTTAGCTCATAAAATTCATACAAATTACCGGTCAGAATATAATTTACATTGCTGGAATTCTTATAATTTGGTGATCATTTTGAATATAAACATCATATATTTTGCATTAAACATACAAATTTTAGATAAAATTTTCTCTCAGGTAACTATGTTATCTTTGTTTTAAAATATATGACATTTATTTTCAAAATATTCCTGGTCTTACAAGGAATCCAGCAATGTCAATTATCTAACTAGTTTGAGGTATTATTTATTAAAATTTAGTGGTTTTCCCCAAAAATTTCTCAGAAGAGCCGGCAGTGTAGTGTGAGAAGAGGAGTTGAGTCCATTATTTGAATGGACATTAACAGCGACTGTATTTCTCTATTTCTCTTAAGTATTAATTGTGTGGTACCATCATAAAATTAAGATGTTATTTTTACTACAACATAGGTATGTGCCTTCAAAAGTGAATTTGGGGTCGGGTCAGTTTCTATTGGAATTAATCCCATATGTTCTGTTGTTCACTTATCTGATTTCACTTAACACGGGACCCTCTGGGTTCTATTGACCGCGTAAGTGGGGCAATAACTGTATATGTATATATGTATATATATATATATATATATATATATATATATATATATATATATATATATATATATATATATATATATATATATATATATATATATATATATATATATATTCG